GTTTGATGTTATTTCTTCTCTGCTCAAGAATCATGGTGATTGAAGTACATTTATACAAAATAATATTACCAAAGATATCAAGTAGAGGGAACCAACTTCTAACCCTAACCCTCTATCAATCTATCTATCTTGTAATAATTGTTTTAGATTTAGTGGTTTGACCCCTTCCAAAGGTCGTAGAAGCTTGGGGATGGTACTAATGGATCGGGCATACCCACATTAGTTCAGAGGGTTGTCAATGGGTTGTCATCCCTAACCCTAACCACAACCCTAACCCTAATTGTAACCCTAACCCTAATTTCAACCCTAACCCATATTCACCATAGGGTGAAAAACTCTGCGCTGCTTGCTCGAAACATGCTGAAATTCGGTGTGGGTGCGTGGCAGGCTCCCCTTTATTAATGATGAAATGCCCAAGTCTCTACGGCCTTCAGAAAAAAAGTTATTCAAAAATATCTTGGAATTTTTTCTTTAGATTTGGTGGTTTGACCCCTTCCAAAGGTTGCAGAAGCTCGGGGATGGTACCAATGGATCGGGCATACCCATATTGGTTCAGAGCAGGGGTTTTCAAAGTGTGGTAGAGTAAGCCCCCCCTCGGAGAGCAAATTCCAACATCTGTACTTTTAGAACATCTTTTTTTTTTTTTACACATTTCAAACATCTGTGCTTTTTTTTAACACATCACATTTTCTTTTTTAACATCACATCACCACAATCGCGCCCCCCCTGCAGAACTCTGGCGCCCCTAGGGGAGGCGTGCCCCATACTTTGAAAAGCCCTGCAATAGAATATCTGTACCTGGGCCTCAGCACGGACAGTGAGTTTGTCCTGGTGCAGAAGATGTGTGAGTTGCGTAACGTCCAGTTGCAGGAACTCGTCGAGTTTGTAAACTTCAGTGAAGTGGAGCTGGGTGAAGTCCTCGGCTGCTGCTTTCAGCTCAGGACAGTCCATACAGTCTGAAAGGGCTGAAATACCTGCAGAGGACAAAACAAGGATCAGCGTTCCACTCAAATGAGTTGCATGACAGGCAGACCTAACACCAGAAGGGAGAAGTAATTTAAGTATTTAATCATATGTTTTTTCATATTTAGATTTCCAAAACAGTTCTTGAATATACATAGGAGACTCCTTGACACCAGTAACTGTTTAACTCACTCAGCTGGATAGTTTTGACCCTTAGGCCTCTATTATTTTGATGTTGTTGACTCAGTAAATAAAGGACGAGAGGGCTCAGCAAATAGAAGAAACTTGTCAACTACCTTTCAACCTGGCTGAATTGTACTTTTAATTTTACTCTTACCCAGGCAGTTCGTTGCATCAATCTGTCCTTTGAGGAACTCCACACACATCTTCTTCACAGGCTCAATCTGGTACTGGTTGGCTGCATCCAGCAACGACTGGACATTACTGCTATTCACTGAGATCCTGGCACAAACACACACGCACATAGACAGTACATTCAGTGAATTTGGAATAGGAATACATCAACACAGTGATTAGCCTCTCAATACAAGAAGCGCCTTGGCAGCATCTAGCCACAGTTGTTAAAAATAAAATGTTTATTTG